CTTAATATTTTATCAAATATAACATATTCAACAAAAAAATTCAATAACGTGCTTTAACCACTAGGCGTTGCGGGTTAAAACACTGTCAAGTTTACAGTGTTAACACAATAAATTATACTTTCCAGTATAGGTTTCCAGCTTAGTTCATGACGGATGTATTTTGTTATCCACACATATATATTTTTGATATTTTAACCTACACCTGCAACAGTCAAAGACAGGCAACTGTTGAGGAGTTGGAAAGGTCTGAAGATGTTACAAATAAGGTACACACAGCATACAATGCCATAATAACTTTGTATTATTAGTGTAGGACACGTATGTACTGTATGTATAACATCTGAAGATGTGTAGTTTTATTCATGTTTTCACATAATTTTACAGGATATTGCTATATTATTTCACATATTGTAGTTCTACACATTAATATCTGATTTGTAAAACATCATAGACGGAAAGGTATATCCGTCATTTAATGGTAAGCTATTGAAATTCTGAATCCATAGATGTGTCTCCCATCACCCAAAACCCCTGACTATTCTCTCAATTCAGTATTTACATTCTTATATTCAAAGAAAATCAGTAATATCTTTAAAAACTACAAGTCCCTGTCTATCAGCATTGATACTGCAAGGAGACGTATTGTGTGAAAAGAAATTGAAGATGTTGTTTAATTGCTGATATATTTATGATCCACGTCACGTATTCAGTTTCGGTGGCAGTTCTTCCAGTTTGTCCAGAAGTGTTCTAATCAGGGCTCTATAAATAAAGAACTACGGCAGATGTGTAATATTTAATGCAGCCGAACCGTGTATTACAATGCCGTTATGTGATGACTTTCAAAGAGAAAAGCAAGTACACTCGGATTAAAGTATTATTTTCTTTTTTGTAAATGTTTTTCGGATTTCATATCGCATAAACACCATATCCCAACGTGCATTGCGGCTAAAACATCCAATCACCAAGCTTCAACCATAGCTGAGGATCTTGGGTAATCAGTTCAGTGGGTGTGTATCGCAATGATAGAATTACTAACAAAGAATTGCTAACAAAGCACTTATATACTAACAAAGGACTGGCTTATCTAAAGCCAGTTGAGTAGCACTTGAAATGTTTTGGCTCTATGAAACCTGATGTACTTATATGATTCTGTTTTCTTCAAGTTTGTATCTTGTTGGTCGAATGCACTTATTGTAAGTCGCTTTGGATAAAAGCGTCAGCTAAATGCAATGTAATGTAATGTAATGTAATGTAATGTAATGTAATGATGCCTATAGGTCCCTTATAGGCCTACGTCTGTTTCCGGTGACTTTATTTTGAAATTCAGTTCCTGAGGAACGGCAAAAAAGCCAGAGATTATAGAATTAAACAAATAAATAAAAACAAGGATAATTGTGTGTTATTGTTGAGTAAGTAACAGTGTGTTATTTAGAAAATAATAACAAATTAGAAGGAAAACAAATACAGATTTCAGTATTCTGAGGCTCTGAGCCCCATTTATTTTCTTCGCGGACGGCAAAAAAAGTCAGACATTATACGATTAAAACTAAAAACAATAATCGTGGCTTGATATGGAGTAAGAACATGTTTTTATGAACCACACAGCTTCCGGTCTTCCAAGACCCGACCGGACAAAAAGACGTGGTGCAGGCACGAAACATACTACCAATAGAAATACATTGCTTTTAAAATAGTTCTGTGTGACACGAAAAAAAGGGGAAAATCGTGTTTGTGAACACGAATCAATAGAATAAATGTCGTGACTATAACACGAAATGCCGTGAGACTGGGTTGAATATAGACAGTTAATTTGGATTTGTCGTAAATTCCCACTTGTAAATTGCGGTAAGATATACTTCAATTGAGTCAAGTAACAGCTTAACAGCAACAACTTTTAACAGAGGTACCCAATTCGGCTCAATCATAATGTTCACAGATAAAGATTGTCGTTTGCTAATCAAGATTTTACCACACACATTCTAACGTTAGCATAAACCTGTGACATTTAACTTTGAATTAATTAGCCTAATGGTTAGCATACTTTAGCATCTGCTTGTAGCTTAACAATGTTGAAACTACTGTAGGAAAATCAACAATACGGTTATGCTTCCTGGCCTGGAGTCCAACCAGCCTTAAATCGTAGCAGATATTGGGTTTATTTTCCTTTTTCACCATTTTGCCCGCCAAGGGCAGGCATTTTGCGGGCTGTTTCTTGCCCTTTTGCACCATAGTCCGACTGAGTGTGTTTAGGTGCCAAAAAAGTGACGTGAGTGCATACTCTCTTTTGACCACTACTTGGGGCTTCATGCTTGGTAATTACACGGCCACACACACTTGACAGGGAGCTTCTAGCTGGCTGGCAGGTTGGCGGATTAGTGTGCTCTCATCACAATGAGATTGCTGCAGCCTCTTGTTAACCCTCATTGTATGAAATCACCCAGTGGCTCACCTTCAAGCATACTTATCAGCCTCTTATTCCCAAACCTCCCTCACTAACCAAAATTATGTCTGTATGCGCATGTGTGTGTGAGTGTGTATCCCTGTCCCTCTCACTAGCTAGGAAGTTAGAAGCAGCATCTCAGAGAGTGCTTCAATCTCCTCTCCCTCTAACTTGATTATTAATTACAGTCTGCCTCTAGCTGACCGCAGCCCAAACACTGTCTAACACTGTTACCAAGGAGACCCAAAGTAATTTACGTACAACATGCAGGATACACAGATTAAGGCACAGCACAGCGATTGCTCAGATTTGTGTCCGTATCACAGAAGCCCTGAAAAACACGTTTTTTTGCAAGTGGGGAAATGTATTTAAATTGTTTAGGTTATGATTTAAGAACTGGTAAAAAAAAAAGAAGAGATATACCTTTTATAGCAGCAAAAGTGCTTGGGATCCTGGTGCACTGCCTCTTGTGGTGGAAATGGGTCTAACAATAACAAACAAATAATCGTGATTTAAAGAAAAAAAAGGTTTTTCAAAGATGGAAAATGTAAGCAAAAGGATCCTGGCAAATATTTATTTCAAGTTGCAAAATATATTTTTACGACATCTAAATTCAAAACGATAGGAAACAACTAAGATCAGACTTAGAATCTTAGGTTACTTTGTCTATCCTTGCTATTTAAGTATTTCAATTAACCTGAATGCCAATCAAACGGTAATCACGTCAAATGTAAGTGAGAAGTGCTAATTTTTAGGTGACATCTAGCTTGGCATAACCTCAAAAGTAACCCACTAAACACTAAAGATGAAACCCATCATCGGGTTGCAAAATCATAAGTTGATCAAAGGGAGTGCATGCCAGAAAGTCAGTCATGCCTGAGCTGCAGGGCTCTCAACAGTAATCAACCTGGAACTGTGCCTGCAGCGAGGCCGAGGGACATCACTCTTTAAATGGGCGTGTGTGTGTGTGTGTGTGTGTGTGTGTGTGTGTGTGTGTGTGTGTGTGTGTGTGTGTGTGTGTGTGTGTGTGTGTGTGTGTGTGTGTGTGTGTGTGTGTGTGTGTGTGTGTGTGTGTGTGTGCTTGTGTCTCACTTGTGTTGAAATGGAGAGTAGATTAGGTACTTGCCAGCAGCAAAATATAGCAAATTATGCTACACAAGGGTTTCATGTGTTATCTTATTACTGGCCATAAGGTGATGTGTTGCACGCAAATACACGGTATTCAAAATCATTATTAGCCTTCAGAAGATCTTTACATCTGGCAATAAAGACATTCTTGTAATGTTTTGCTTGAGACAAGCATTGGTTATATCTTACTGATGGCCTGCAATCTGTTTGATTGTCACACATGTACAGCATCATGTGAATGATGGTGGTAATTTTCCAAAGTATAATAACCATTGTGAAGTGTTATGGAGTCTGACAGCTTATTTTTTAGAACTGTTTAAACTAGCCCAGTGTGCAGCTTTTAAACAGTCTCATATTCCTTCAACATTAAGTGAGAATTCAGTTGTTATAATGACTCACCCAATATGGCTTCTTGACTGCCAACGACAAACGTTATATTTATTGCTCATAAAAAGCACAGGTGGTTCTTAGGTAACTAAGAATACAATTTGTGGCCTCAAAGCATCAAAGCACTTCTCAGGCTTTTGTTTTCGTTGTAAGTGGTTGTGTGCTGATTTAAAAAAAATCACATGTAAAGTGGTGATTATCTGAAAAGTATCAAGTTGTGCTGATTGGTATTAAAAATCCTTTGATTTAGTCCCTTCAAAGTGCTTTTTTAGGTGGGATTCTGTTATTTTGTCGGCCCCCTGTTGAGTTTGGAACCGATTACAGTCAAAAACAATATGCTGATGGAGATAAAATTATAGATATAGGAAGTGAACACATTGGGAATACCTGATGATGGCAGAGGAAATAAAATGTAAGAGAAACAGAGATGGTTAATTCAGTTTGTCCTTTTATTTCTGTCCACACGGGGGAGTGGATGGGCGCATTGGACTCAATTATACTTCTACACCATGACAGATGGAGCTGCGGGGGTCGTGGGGCGGTCTGTGGTTTCCCCGTTGGTAAAAGGGATTAAATGCTAGAAACTAGGGGAGCGACCCTTATCTATAGAAGGGGAGGAATAGATGGATACAGAGCTAATGGCAACCAACAGTTGATTGGCTGTGAACGCCAGCCAATGGGTGTTGGAGAAGAATAAAGCGACTCCACTGGTGATTAAAAAGTCTCATCTATTAGGAGCATGGGGGAAGGGAGCCATAAAACAAGGGTTAATGTGTGTTGAGTGTGTTGGTGGTTTTGTACTGGATGAATGAACAGAAGCAATCAATGAATGTGGTAAATGAAAGACCCTCATAAATCTACACGTGTATGTCTGTTTAAGGCACAATTGTATGATTCATAACACAGACAAATAGTTGCCATAAATATTCATGTATGTAAGAAATCATGCCGTAATTAACATTAAGTCATTATAATAATGAATTAACTTTTTCTATTCCTTCTGCCATTTTTCCGTTTTCCCTTCCTCTTGGTGTATTTCCAAATGTTTAATATCAGCTCTTTTCTTTCTTTCCTCTGTTTCTCTTACGTCTCCTTTGTCTTGGTCTTGGTGAGGTAGCTTTTGTAGTAGAAGTTACTGAAGAGAGCGATGAGGCTGAGGGAGTAGGCGAACACAGCCATGTTCATGGAGTCGGGGAAGTCACAGTCAGCAAACAGGTTGTAGGTGGTGTGGATGGTCACGATGAAAAACTGGAGCTGAGAAAAGACAAGCAGACAGACAAAGAGTGAGAAAAAATCATTTGTGTTACCAAAATATGAGAAAGACATGACTAAATACAAAGGGAGTGACTTTAATAAGGCCATTGAGACTGGTGGACACGGACAAACCTGGCAACCTAGAAGAATAGGGTGACCTTCTCATTCAATTCCGCCTGTATAGAGACATACAACTAAGTTCTTTGATCAGAAAAAGCCAAACAACGGGCAGAAAACTGTACGGAGGGAAACCTGACCTCATAATTAAAAAATATCTATTTTCTGAATATTTGTAACACACACCAAGAGTTTTGGCGAGGCAATAATCACTAAAAAAAGGCTTGAACGAATCTGATTTTGTTGGAAAAAGACAACAGCCACTACTATTTGTCTGTTATTATCGTAATATATACTGTAGACTAATCTATATCCATATGTTACATAGTATGGGGCCTCTATAGGGTTCTGGTCCTTGCCAAGAGTACTGTTTATAAATTAACATCATGAACGCATCCATCCAACCCACTACACACACACCTCCCATTAAAATGTAATCATAATTACCACTCATACAGTAAATACAAAAGACCCAATTTACTAAACTATCTCAGCTTCAGTTCACCAAATTGTGAAGCCAACTGTAGGCTTGGGGGGTCAACTCTAAGGTCAGTACAATTATTGTTATATAATGGCGGTCAGTCACCATACTGACCTATATGCTGCAGCTATATAGAAGGGAGAAAGAACCTAAAGGATGCATTGTGTCCTTATCAACGCTGTAAGAAGAAAACAGATGGTCCAGTAGTTAGTTAATCTGTCTAAATATGCAATCAGAACAATGACAAACCAAGCAGGTGGCCTCATGTAGGGCTTGTCAAAGTTGAATCTACAGTATAAGCTTTCTTGGACATACATGCAACCAGAAGTATATGGAGGGAACAACTTTTCACATTACTAGCAACACCATTTAACATACCAGCTGCTAAAAGTGCTAAAAGTGTCCTTGAGCTACAGGTGTAACGCTCTAACCCAAAAAGCACCTCAAATGATCGGACGGTATTATGCCAAAACATAAAAGAGAACTGATCACTAAAATCACCCAAGTGGTTTTCCGAGAAGCATTTGGCCACATTAACATATTCAAGTGGTTGATTTATAGCGATTGATAGAAGCTATAAATAAATGTAGAAAGAAAAAAGAGAAGGAAAGCTGAGGCAAAGTGAACGTAAGACTCAATGTCACACACACATGCTAACTAAGGAACATACTGACCAGTTGCAGAGAGGTGAGGTAGCGCTTCCACCAGAGGTATTTGGTCATGCTTGGTCCAAAAGCTGCCAATCCGTAGTACAGATACATCACTACATGGACCAGGGAGTTGATCAAACCAATCAGGAAAGCTGTGGATGGATACACAGGAAGAGTATTACATATAATGCCCTTGAGTATGTTTTCTCTTGTAAATTGTCTTAAATTTGCAAAAAATTGTATGACTTTTCTGTGAGACTGGGCTTGTTGGTTGGCGTGTACTCACACTGGCCACCAGCCACATATTTAACCCCAGCCCACCAGTTGAAGATCATTGTGGTGTGATGGTAGACATGAAGGAAGGTCAGCTGACTGTTCTTCTTTCTCAGGATAAAAAAGATCTGAACCATACAAACATAAATGGTTTTAATGGTTATAGATGGAAGGACAACAATACATACGTCAATTTATTTGGGAATTTTTTTTCACTTCTTTATACTCACAGTGTCACTGAGCTCTATTACTTTTGAGAAGTAGAACCACCAGCATACCCTGGCCATCTGCCAAACAGAATACAAATATGTTAGCAGTCTTTTGCACTGGATTTTTTGTTGAATAAAGTATCATGAACTAAAAAGATGTACCCTCGTGGCCTGTGGGCTGTCACTGTAGTCGACTGGCTGGCACAGGAGACTGTATTTGGCCAACCAGGAAGAGGCTGTAAACTGTAAACACAAAAGCTGCTTTACATCTGTGCTTTCTCGCTATCAGCCGAAAAACATTTGATCCCATGTTGAACTAAGTACAGGGCACATAAATACTGTGGTATCCCTTAAGATTAACATGTGTCTGATAGAGTGCTGACAGGCGGACACGATCCTCGCATTCATAACATTAGTTTACAGATGTACCTCATAGAACATGTAGGCAGACAGGCAGACCATGGCAACGTTGTAAACTATCAGGATGGGTTTGAGGTTGACTGGCTGCCTGTTCTTCATCAGCTTCGGCCCCAACCATATAATGAGCAGGTAGCACAGAAATATGCAGCTGATAGGCACAGGAGAATAGACCAGAGGCCAACTGTCTGTCCTCTTGTCTAGACAAAATAGAGAAAACAAGAGGAAAGCATGGATCAAGCAAACACGTAAAATGTCTCATATAAAGATTTGAAGATATTCCATTAAAATATGTGAGCAATTAAAATTGTGAAATTAAATACTTACCTCCATTTCCCAGAATCCCTTGGTAGAATAATTGTAATTTCTGCCAAATGGCGAGAGCATGGAAACCCTGAGATGGACACACATGAGCAAGAGTCTTTAGCTAGTAGGTACAAAACTAAAACACTGTTGAAAATAACATTTAGGATATTCCTTTAAAGCCAGTATTTGAAAACATAAGATTGTATTTTTATTTAATTTAAATTTTAGTCAGATAATGTATTGACTGAATCAAGGCAGTCTGCGCAAACTTCATAAAAAAGTGGGGAAAAAGGTCTCCTATAAATCTTGATACAAATCACAAAAACAACTTGTAACGGTTTGTTGAAAGAATACAAGTGTAGGCACAAAACATATTATCTCAAAAACGACTGACAACAATAGCACCCCTCTGCAAATTTGATTAAAGCACTCAGAGATGATCTGGATTATAATTCAAGGATTATGTTCACTAATCCAAATTCATCTCTTGATAATGGATAATAACTAATAATCCCCTTGATGAATGACTGCCTAATGTGGACGACAGGGTGATTAATTTTCATTTATGATTATTAACATACGATAGTGCTGCCATCTAGTGTTTTCAGATGGGAAGACGACAAACAATCTTCCGCTCTTCACCTTCCTTTATTTACAAATGTGGATTTGTTTGGGGTTTCGTGTCTGGAGTTAAACTCCCGCTCTTGGTTTTGGTACCTAAATCAGCTGAGATTAGGTTGTTGTTGCCTATGGATATAGAAATTCAGTCAGTCTTTGCTATTGTTTCTGGGAATTATAGTGGTATTAACATTATAAAACTACACTCAAATTACACTTGATATGTTTTGAAGGTTATTTTATTTTTATTTTTATTTTATTTTTGAACACAAATGTAATTGAATACGGTATATCAAAAATGTGTACTATTGCCCCATACAATTGTATTCTGTGGAAGAGGCTTAGATACAGCATTTGGGGATATAAAAGAACATTACAGTACTTTTGTCATTTTTGTTGAAGTAATTCAATAATTGTACTTATAAATAAGTAATTATAACATTTCAAAAGCTTAATGATTTGAGATGATGATGATTTCATTAGAAAACACTGTGGCAGGTAGATCATCTCTGATTCAGTATACCTCTCTTCCTAAACATCACAGTTTAGAAGTATTTTAAAAGAGCATGCATCAACAGATATTTGTCCTCTTCATGCTAAATACTACACCCGTGAATCAGCACTTAGTACTGTATTGGTAGAAGCAGCATGTTGTGTGGACAGGGATAAGTAGTTTATCTTCTGGTGCCTTATCTTAGGGATTTCGAGAGGGAAATCCCTGACATGGCCAGGCTTCTACAACCTGCTGAGGTTTATCCAACATGTTCTAGAACTACGGCGTTGTTAAATCTCAGGAAAATAATATCAAGACAATATAAATGACTGGGAATTGTAGAAGAATATAAACAAAAGGGGTTAAATCATCATATTAAACAGCCACGCCAGCGATCTGTTTACAAGAAGCCCGGTGTACAGAGCTAATACTGCTTATACAATCTGTAGTTAAGACAGTTCTACATGCAGGTTATCATTGGAAATGATGACTTTTGCTTGAATTATTTATGATCAAGAATCACAAGAATCACCATATAGTTAAAATATTTGTTGCAAGAGACTTTCTTTAGTTTAGTAGAGCTTTGTGAAAGTGGCCTTACCTTCATTCTGATGCCGGCTGTTTGCTGCCCTCAGTCTCTCTCAGTCATGCTGCATCTCAGCCGCCGTTAAGCAGGTAATCCACCTGTCGTGTGTGTGTGTGTGTGTGTGTGTGTGTGTGTGTGTGTGTGTGTGTGTGTGTGTGTGTGTGTGTGTGTGTGTGTGTGTGTGTGTGTGTGCGTGCGTGCGTGCGTGCGTGCGTGCGTGCGTGCGGCGTGCGTGCGTGCGTGCGTGCGTGCGTGCGTGCGTGCGTGCGTGCGTGCGTGCGTGCGTGCGTGCGTGACTGCTCCTTTATTCTAGCATAGCAGGTCAAGTGCCTACCTTGATTGCAAACTATTAGATTGACAACTTAATTTGATAGTTCTTATAGGAATGGGAACATGATTTTGAATGACTTATTGTAATTATAACGTAATGTGAACCTCTTGGCTAAACAATGGATCTTATTTTTCTTCCTAAGATTTAAAAAAAGGTGATATTTTTATATATATTATAGAAAAAATTCATCCTTAGGGAAAAGTATTTTCTCCTTGATACAGTCCCAGTTTAAAACGCATTTGAAGCATAACCCAAAGTGTATGGCTGAGTTTGGGTTAAACAACAGGTATACATAATATACACTGTATATCTTGGACACCATGAGATAGCGAACTTCAGACTTTTACTGCTCCAAGCTGATATGCCAGATAAACGAGTTGTAACCATTTTATCATCTCATCCTAGGAAAGAAACACAGTTTCCGGCTTTTTAGTTTGGTTGGGGATAGCATTACTGTGTTTTCCTGCTACCTATGGTGTTGGGTTGGGTCTTGGGCATTATGAGAAAATTGGCAATGGGCATACATAATTCACATTTGCATTTTTTATTTTGCATTATTTTGTTGGGATTTTTTGTCTCTTTTAAGTTGTTTTGTGTTCTTAAATTATTTGGTCATTTTGTCGTTATTTGTAGCTGCACTGGCTAAATTAAAATAGTTTAAGACACGTAGACAAACACTTCAGATATGTACTTATTTTTTAATGGAGAACACAAATCTTAAGGATCCTTCTACACCCAGTTAATTAGGTGGAAGTACACACAAATACTTCAAATCCACAGCAAATATGATGATTAAATGGTAAAAGTGACAATAATGCATTTGCAGGTGTGGTTTATAATGATTAATTTGATTATTATGCTAATCTAATGTATTAAGAAAATGCCTTTACAATGAATAAAGGACCGCACTCTTGACACACGCACATAGTGACGTAATAGCATAGCATACAAGCAGAAACTGAACCCAGAAGGAAAATGTTTGGGCAGAAATCACACTGAGGTTTGCTCTATAGCAGTGCCCAACATCCTCTGACTCTGTGTGGCCTAGATAACCATCAGCACATCCAATCTCTCCGCACACCTCCGTCTACAGCTCCCTGCAGGCAGGTTTAACACCATAGATTTCATTAATGGGAGAAGATAGGCTGGCATTGGCTACGTTATACACACAGAGGACCTAGGTGTGGACATGCTGGCAGAGAAACCAAAATCTGATCACTGCTAAAACAGATTCAACTGCTGAGGGAACAGCTGTTCTGCCACCAAAGTAAAACATGTTATCAAAAGTAAAATACTAAGGAAAAAGCAAGTAAAACACTCGTAAAATGGCATCCTAGTTATCTTCTTCCACCTTGTCGTGATGACTGTGGTTGCCAGGTTGCTGATGATGATGATGATGGTCATGATGATGAGGATGGTGATGATGATGCTCAGAATGATGGTGAGGAGGGTGCAGAGTATTATTCTGACTATGCTGATGTTTGGACTGGTTCTCGGGACTGGTGTGATCGTGTTGGTGGTGATGATGATGAGGACCATTATGATGATGATGATGATAATGAGGAGGAGGAGGGTCATCAGTGTCCAGAGGACTTGTGGGTATTGTAGTCGTCTGGCTGACATTAAACTGTGTTGTCTCATTCTTCATGAGGGTGTTCTTGCCACTGGATAAAGTATGATTAGCCTAAGGAAGATATAGCATGTTAAAACTGCAGTAATAGCACTTTTTGGCCACTTGGAGGCAGCAGAACAAACAAAACATTTTCACATATGTATTCCTTTTTACACACCCAGTAAACATGATGGTGCATTAACACTCATGTTGTGTTTCCCACCAATATTATTTTTCTGTTTGCCTACATTTTCATCCAAAACATCCTCAGCACAATATTCTGGGATGCCTTTTTTACTGTGAGGAATCTAGTTTTAAAAGCAAGGAACGAGAAGAAGGGAGTTCTGTTTTTGTGTAGCATCTAGATCCAGAAGAGGAGACTAGAAATGTTACCTGATGTCGTTTGTAGTGTTTGTAGAGTGTGTATTTGGTTATTACTCACAGTGCAGTTACAGATGTTTTTAAGATAAGTGGCTCTGATTGCAGCCTCTACGTAGACGTTGTGCAGGAAACTGTAAGGCAGCACTATGTGGAAGGTGAGCAGACCACACCTGGAGAAAAAGGGAAAGAGCTAATCAAAATGTAATAAGGAACATCAAAATCATGGCACGAGATTCTTAAAAACCCTTCGAACCAAAGGTGCTTAGCCCAGTACAAAATGTTCACACATCAAAAAGCTTAAACAAATGTGAAATAAATGAAAGGTTTTAATTTGATACATATTGTCTTGAGGATGCCTACCTATCATAGATCAGGAAGTCATCTTTGTCTCCATCCAGGGCCTCCCACACGTCATCCTGAAGGGGGCCCTGCTGGTAGACAGGAACTCCAGGGGGCGTTTTTCTCTTCAGCTCCCAGTACATGGCTCTGGACATCGCATCACGCTCATTCACGATCATAAAAGACACGTCTGTCAGGTTGCTGCGGTTCAGCTTGTCACGCAGGCCTCCAATTCTACAGAGGGACAGTTAGAGAAATTTCACTTCACTGTTGATGAAATTAAAAGGGTCTGTAAGCATCTGCGTGACACTGATAGTCATTTAAAATGAAAACTTAAAATGCCACAATTGACATACTCCGTTCTTGCATTAAATCAGTGGTTCTCAAACTTTTTCTGTCAGGCCCCCCCTTTGGAGAAAAAAAAAAGTCGGGCCCCCCCAACACAAATAGTCAGGCTCAGTGGCGGCGCCAGAGATTTATTTTGGGGGTGCTGTGGGGTAGCTTGACGTTTCATAGAGGGTGCTCAAACATTTAGGGTTTCCCATTAATGTACCGGTCGCTACAGTGGAATTTTCTACTGCAACAATCCCCACGCAAATACACAGTACACCCGCGACTGTTACAATGAAGGCTCGATAATCAGCTCACGGCATATACGTGTAAGCAGGGGTAAAGTGCTATTTTTATAGGTGGTGTGTGGACATCACATAGGGGGGTCCGGGGGCAAGCTCCCCCGGGAAGATTTTTAAATATTGAAGTTAAAAGCATCAATCTGGTGCACTTTGAGAGCAAAATGAAGAGATCTATGGATACCTCTCTCAACACCCATTTGAAACAGAACTGTAAACAGATTTACTATTTCTTTATGGATATTTTACAAATCACTCCCCTTTGAAACTTTATTCTTGTTTTACTGTCATATAGTATTTCATACCTGTTTTTCATTTATTCTCTTAATTTGTTATAACTATAATGATCATATAAACGTGTGCCTCGGAAATAATTGTTTACATTAATGGTGACCAAAACGTTTGAGACCCACTGAGATAACACTGAGAGAGTCCTTTAGCTCACTGACTCTCTGTCTGACAGGAGAGGACTCTCCTCCACTTTGTTGTTGAAAAAACTCCTTATATCCGTTAGCATAGCTCGCTAGCACCAGAAGCTAACAACAACGATCTCCGGCTTTCTCTCTCTCGCTCGCGCACACACACAAAATGGCTCGTTCCACACACACACAGAGCCAAGCTTTAATGAAACACAGAGACCCAGACGTAATAGTACTGTACTGTATCATATTATTTTCGAATCAATAATTTTTCAAATTATGATTTTTTTTTTTTTTTTTTTTTTATCTTTTTTTTTTTTTTTTAATTACCATTTTTCCTCCTGGTCTCTCGCGCCCCCCCTGTCATGCCTCTGCCCCCACTTTGAGAACCACTGCATTAAATGTACAGCAGCTCAATGTAATTACGTAAGAGGCATTTAGCAAATATGGTGCATGTGGGTGTAAAACATAATATCAAAGTTAGGAATGCACATGAACGCAGTAATACAACTTAAGAATTGGGGAGGTCTTTAACAATCCAACTCCTTGCTAGGTTTTATTGTCATCCACACTGAAAAAACTGAACCGTTGACTTTAATTAAATGTATTATGTCAACAGAATTCATATAACTGTATTATGTTAGTTGAAAGCAGTAATATTAAGTTTAACTTCATATTATTGCTTTCAACTAATCTAATACAGTTACAAACCAGAACAATCTTTGACATGTTTTTTTATCTTTTATAGTCCCTTCTTTTTGTTGAAAATACTAACAAGTCCAAGTAACGAGTAATGTAAATTATCATTAATTAAATCACATCCATCAACAATTTTAGAAAAGCAACAACAACAAAATGAATGTCATCGGGAAAAAAGCATATTCTTGAATTCACTTATGACATGCGGTAAACCTTAATATAGATTGTTTTGATAGAGAGAAGACATTTTAACTTGTCGTATTAATGAAAGAACAGGTGTTTCTAATAACAGTAGCCATAACACGGATGTCATATATAATTACTGCTGTGCTTTTCCTACTGTAAGAGTCAAAATACTATATGAAACAAGACTGTATGAGTTTACTTTGTCCCAACACGTTTCATGATTTCTGCAAATGTGTTAAAAAAAATAACCTCCTCATTTTAAATGGCAGTTGTTCTCTTCTTTCTTACTTGGAGGCCTGAGTGAGACAGAACTGTCAGCTAGCCTTCAGTAGCGCCACCACAACCACATTCCCCAGCAGCTCTTGCATGGGCTCCTGTCCCTTAATGGTCCAGCGGGGGGGAGGTTTGCAGATCCTGGAGGCGTCATTGTCCCCCTCCACCGTCAGACTGACATGTGCGGCCCACAGCAGCCCGGGCAGGGCAGCATACAGCCACAGCGACGAGACACCGCTCATTGTCCTTCTGGACTGAAGACGAGAAAAGCACGAGGTTTAACTGTTATTTTGACCAAAAGCGACTTTGTACACTGTAATACAGGTGCTACATACAGCCCTTTGAGGGGAGACACTGTGAACAGGAATACAAAACAATGAACTTAAAGGTCACCTATGCAAAATCCACTTTTTCACATCTTTTATACATAAACATGTGTCCCCTCTGTGTAAAGAGATTCAGAAAGTTTCAGGAAAAAATATTCTCTCTTTTTGTACTGAACCATTTATATAAAAACCTGTCTGAAAATGAGCTGATCAGATTTTGGCCACTTTATGATGTCATTATGTTTTTTGCCCCCCCCCCCCCCCCCACCTTATCACCTGCATCTCCTCCTAGAGCACCATTATGTTCTACAATATGTATTACAATTAAATCACGGTCAAATATGTTCATTTTGTTGTAGTTGTAGCCCCCTTGCCAGCGATTCTCTCTCTGGTTTAGCATACTCAGCCCGACTCAGCCTGGTTGTTGACCCGGAAAGAACCTACATTTTATGGGGCCAGAAAAACTGTGAAATAGTAACCGCTAGCCGGAACTACGCCAAGTGGAAACGCAACCAAAAACTGGCACGGCACGCTTAAAGCGAGCTCCACGCTGTAGTGGAAATGCGCCATTAGATACGTGCAATTTGCATAAATTTTTTTAACAGAAATCTGAATATTAAATCAAGCCAAAAATCAATTTGAAATGTGTTGACATAATGGGGTCAAAGGATCTATACACAAGGGATTTTGGATATCTCTTTGTAACCCCCTTATAAATCCAAAAATACAGCCAATAAAAAAAAGCCCCCCCGAAAAAAAAGATTCCTCCATCTTTTTAGAAAGAGCTAAGAATTATTAGATAACAAACCCATCAGTAAAAACCTTCAGAATATAAATAGTAATTAAACAGCAACGTTTGTATTGTTATACAATACATGTTCAAGACAATATAGGGGAATAGGGTCAAATAAAGTAGGTGACATTTTCAATAATATAATTTTTTTAATTGTCAATTAGATGTTCTTTAACATTACAATAACTTCGTGAAATTAAGAGAAATCTACAGTCGCAGAAATATTTTGTATTGCCTATATTGTCTCACCTTAAACATACATAAACTAGATTTGAAGGTATGCATATAATTGAACAAAAGTCATAATCAACCTTAGATTGTGTGCTAAAGCCTCTAAACCAGGGGTCTCAAACTCAAGGCCCGGGGGCCAAATCCGGCCCGCTACTTCATTTTATGTGGCCCCGCAAGAGCTTGCAAAAAATATAATACGTTTATTATACGGTTACATGCCACTTTACAGAAGCAGGTTGTCCATAAACTACATGTCCCACAATGCATCTCGTTTTGTGACATGCGCACTGAAGAGACTTGCAATTATTTGCCCTGGACTTCTGCTTTCAGACGTAGTTAATTAATAAGTTATTATCCTATCCGATAATAATCCAATTCAAAGGCAATAATGTAATATAATACATTATTTTATATATATATATTATATATTTATATAGTTACAACCGGCCCTTTGAGTGCAACCTTTATGCGGATGTGGCCCGCAATGAAATTGAGTTTGACACCCCTGCTCTAAACTGTATATGATAGTAATCATGTTGACATGAAAGCAGCCTGTAGACTACAATGCAGGGCAGCACGTGCCCAGGCTGGGATAAAAGCAGATTCTTTGGCAGGTTTCCCCTGCACTAAATGTCCAGCCAGTCTGATCCCCAAATAATTAAACGAGTAAACCCTCATTGTCTCTCTCATCGCATGTGGAGATAATCTGCAAAAAGAGTTTATTATGGGGTAAACAGCCAACACACAGAAGAATAGGAGAGAGGGAGCAGAATAACAAAGAGAGGCTTGGACAAACATATTTACAGGCATACAAACATCCAAACTAACTGTAGAAATGGATACATGGGAAGTGTCATCGTCAAAATAAAATGAATGGAAGTAAAGTGATTAAATTGCAAGTATAATCTCAGTGAGTATGTCTTTAAAATAACCTTACAATGTCAGTTTTAGCAACATGAATGAAGGACATTTGTGTGTCCTGTAAACAGTGGCTAACTGTTGAATTCAGATTATATTAAGAGGTTAAAAGTGCTCCCTTACAATTAATGAACTACTTTCAAAACTCCCCTCAAATGCTACAAACTCAAATCAAATACAATGGTTAGCATATTTCAATATGTAGCTTTCAAAATAAGAATGAGAGTTATATACTCATCTTAAGCCCAACAAAAAACCCTGTCCAATCTTACCTCTGTCCACTCTGTCCTGTGACTCATAAACACAGGCAAAATAAACTCTGCTGTATTTAAAGCCTCTGCTGTTGACTAAGCACTTCCCCCAAATGAAACAGACAGAGAGAAGAGAGAGAGACCCAGTATCTGCTCGCTATCACGCACTTAGTGTGCAATCATATCAAACACATCCAGTCCACGTCGCTAGATATTACACAGCCCGAGCTGGGAAATAGTGATCAGTATGAAATTAGGACCTAAATCATATTTAGTCAAAATGACCCATTGGCTGTTTCCCCCTCCTGTATAGGTCTGTCATGGGTTCGAACCAAGTATGCTATCGACTGATACCTAGAGTTTGTTACAAGAAATCTGGGGAGGCTGCTTTCTGTTTTTATGGCCCCAAACTGTGGAACATTTGGATCTTAGAATAGCCATCTCCATTGGAGTTTTAAAAAGTAAAATATAGACCTATCATTTTAATTTGGCTTTTAGTTTGGGGTCATTTTAGTTGTATTACGGTTCATGTTTTATGGTTCTGTGATATATCTCTTTCTCTTTGTTTATAACTTGTTTTTAAGAATGTTCCTCCATCTTTATTTTGTATCTGTAAGGCACTTTGGGCTGCATCTTGCATGAAAGCTGCTATTTGAATAAAGTGTATTATTATTATTATTATTTCTTAAACAAACAGTGTATCATATACTTTTAGCCGTAAAGGCCTAATTTGTCACTTGTTTAGCGCTGCTAGCAGCTGGCTCTGGGCTTGGTCAGCTTGGTCAAATAACTGTTGAGATTAATGACAATTTGGTTCAGGTATTTATCGGACTACCAGCATTTCTTCTGTTCTTTTGTGAAATATATCGAAGCATCTAATGAATGGATTGACACAAACCCCAGACGATGCACCCTGAGGACTTCAGGTCAAAATCTTATCTGGACCAATTTTTGGATCATGAGAAATCTGTAAAACTAATTGGCTAATCAGCTCTACTTACTGTTTTTTGTATGTTAGCATGCTAACATACCTAACTAAGATGTAAACCTGCTAAACATTTGCATGTTAGCATTATCAACAGCACATCCTGCAGACGTTAGCACTTAGCTCAAAGCATCACGGTACCTACTGACACTTTTGTTTCTGTCAAAATGAACATTGTACGTGATATTGATCTGATTACTGAGTATATTTACTTTACTACTCATGACTGAGGCTTTTGACTGTGTAGAGGTGAATGCCTCCATGTGACAAACAAAACCACGGTTGCACTTTTGTAAGAAGCAAACGGCCAAAATCAATGAGCAGCAGCAGTGACAGACTCACTGCATACTTGCATTGTTGGTGAAATAAACCTGTTGAGTGTACATTAAACCGTAATGCTGCATTGCTCAGTTTTCCAAAACCTGATTGCACCGTTCGTTATTATGCTTTTACTTACATGTTGTCATTATTTTTGCAATTCAGCTCAGGTAAAAAGCCAACTGCTAAAACAAATATCTCTCTTGTGAGTAATTGGCTCAAAGTCCAAACTGGGCCAAAGTCAGTTGTCATTCTTTGTTTTATGCAGGGTAAACTACACGCTTTACCTGATGGGCCAGTGTGGATATTTCAGAAGACTTGTGATAAAGAGTTGTGCGCCTTCATGTCAGATGTAATGTAGCCCATAAAGTCAACATTGCTGTTTATTTGTGACTGTGAGCTGCCTGATATGCAGAGGAGACCTATATGCACAATGTCTCTCTCACAAACAATGAAAAATGCACATCATTCTTTACAAGCTCTTTATTTTCTCACACTGCCAGTGTTGTTTTGGGTATGTGAATTTTTTTTTGGTAACTACAACTGCACTGCAAGTCCTCACAAACACTTCAAGTCAGAAAAGTACAAGCTATTGAATCGCACTACTACAGCACTATGCTTAGTGTGAAAACTAACCCCTCTGATTATGTTTAAATGCTAAATATCTTCATTGACACTCGATGTTATCCCAGTTGTGTTTTACGGCTTATGCACAGGCCATCAAATGATACATACAATGGGAAAGTAAAGCTTGCATAATGTACAGGAAGCAGTTTATAGTGTGAGATATGTACATGCCTTAAGTCATTACTCTGTAATCCAGAGTATAGTTCCTCCGCTCTCAGAACATTTGAGTATCCTGAATAATACCAGGCTTTTATTGGGCATGTGAACACCGTCATGAAGCACATTAACCAAGCAAATTTCATCAGGCTCTGTGCAAATGAGTTCTTAGTAGGGCTGGGCTTATATCACATTTTATGGCAGATAGATAGATAGATAGATAGGTAGATAGATAGGTAGGTTGAGAGTGATATATCTGTAAATATTCAGTGACAGGAAGAAGCTGTCTTGCTAGTTGTTGTGGTAGAGAAGTGAATATTGGAGCCTGATTATGAAAATACATACTTATCATGTAAGAAAACAGGCTTGTGCTATTTTTCAAAAAATGCATCAATGCAGGCGGACCTTGTGATACATTTCTTAAGACTGTTTGTTGTTAACTTAAGCTTCCTGTTATCCTCAGATTTACTTTACACCCTTCATCCTCTGGGGTCCATTTGACCCCAGTAGTTTAAAACTCAAGACAATGATCATATTCCACATTTTAACCAACATGTATGTCTCTGGTGCTTTAGGTATCTTAGTTGACTACCTAAATAACCATTTAAATAAAATATTACCCCAACCTTCCCCCCCACAGACCCCTTTATACATCCAGAATTCCTATTATGTGAATATCGAAAAATATATAAATCACCATAAAATCTCACGTACTGAAATAAAATGTTAAAGTAAGATCTTTTTGATGTTGTTAAAGGACCAATAACTAAATCAGAGGGTAGTTTTGTTTTACAATGATACATTTGCATGTAATAGTCACCTCAATATCATCCTACACAATCAACACAAATATGTGTAAAATGTTGACATTTTTACATGTTTTATACTACTAAAACAGCCTGGGGTCAAATTGACCCCAAGGATCACCGATGCATACAAAGTGCGTACAGGACATTTAAAAAAGATCTTCATGTTCATTTTATGTTTACCCCTTAGTCCTCACTAAATTAGGAAACGTCATGAAATACTAAGCAAAGAAAATAATGTGAACCATTTCTTTCCATACGTTAAACATTGAATGGGGTCAAATTGACCCCAAGGATAACAGGAGGGTTAAAAGGATGTCCACTAAACATGACGTTTGTCCAATGTGTGATGCCTTCAAGATATTTGATAAATAATTGATGATATAAACTGATTCTAATATCTTTTAGTAGATCTGTAATTCATTTTGGGATTATTTTTTGGGCAAGGATAATTGTGACAAGAGAATTTCATATCATCTAGGCTGCAACTAACAATTATTTTATTAGCAATAAATCCCCCATTTATTCTCCTCAATTCATGGTTTGGTCACCTGCGACCTTTTCAGATTTCAAGGGTCTTTACATGTCTTGTTTGGAAGGCTCAAAGCCAAGCATATTCACTTGAATATTATGAAGCAGAGAAAATCAGGAAGTCAGTTTAAAGAGGCTGAAAATCGATGCAGCTCTAATATCATCCCATGCCTATTCTTAGTCACCAACTGACGTTTTAGTGGTGCAGATCAGTCACTGAAGCCAAGCATACATTCAACTGATGCTTCAGTCTTTCATGGATGAAGCACAATGTTCCCAACTTGAAGTCACATCTACAGAAACAGCAGCTTCTTCTCTTGAGTCATGCAAACTGCCCCCTCAGGACAGAACCCCTATGAGTTCCTCCTCGTCGTTGTCCCCGCCCCCCTCCGTGGGGCTGTCGCAGGCGGCCATGAGCCCCAGGCCCAGCTCGGCCAGCTCCTCGCAGCTCATGTCCGTGGTTACCATGATTTTAGTCTCCAGGCGGTTACACAGAGTTCTGTAGGAGGGCAGAGGGTACCCCACCTCCCTCAGGTACTCGTAGCCTTTCGTGCCGACAGCGCAGCGGATCTTCCGAGCCTTCATGATGGTCTCTGGAGCCCAGACGGCACGGCGGGAGCGCTTGGAGAGGGACAGGGCGCGGATCTGGTCCTCGTACAGGAAGTTCTGGAGACCATTCTCGATTCGGTCGAGGCGATAAAGGCGCTTCTTCATCTCCTCCGCCTGACAGAGAGAAAAGCGGTTCATTAGGGCTATTTATTAGGCAATAGAACAGTAAGACAAAAGAAAAAGGTCTGACCCAATATCAACTCTTTAAATATGTCTAGGCAAGGCAAGTTTATTTATATAGCACTTTTCAACACAAGGCAATTCAAAGTGCTTTACAAAAATGAAAGACATTAAGAGCATAAAACACATTAGAAACATTAAAAAGCAAAGATAATAACACATGAATAACACAGGTACATGAATACAAGTTACAGCGCAGTGTGAGATATGAATAGTTCAATTAAAAGCAGCGGCAAAAAGAAAGTCTTCAGCCTGGATTTAAAAGTAGTCAGAGTTGCAGCGGACCTGCAGGTTTCTGGGAGTTTGTTCTAGATATTTGGCAATACCCCTAACCAAATTCTCACATTCCTCTACCCCTAGTCTTCCCATGAAATGATAGTTCCTTTGACAGTTTTCTAACCTTTATATATTCCTTTCATCCTTCTCTTTCAATCATTTTGCCCCAAAACAACATATTTCCCCTGTTTGACTGTGACCTGAACACATCTTTGACCTTTAAACCACTTTTCTTTTCAATTCCCAGAATTAGGATATTTAAACCTGTTTTAAGACTTCCCTCATGAATCTTTGGCCTTAACCGCTTTTAAAACGTCTAAAATGTCTCTGTTCATTGCCTCTTCAAAGGAAAAACAAACAGGAGAGTGATTTTGAAAGACACACAGCAGCCACCCACCTCCTTCTGCAGCCTGGCAGTGTGCTGCATCTCCTGCTCCAGCTGCTTCTTCAGGAGCTGACACTGTGTGCAGGGCTGCTGGTCCTCCCCAGTCCCGTCTGCATCCTCCCCCTCCAGGCCGGGCAGGGGGGTGCGTCTGGCATAGCCATGGTCTCCAAAATTCAGATCCTTCTCCACTACAGACACAAAGCAACATATAAATGGTATTGCATTTATTGGAATCTGATGCATTTTACATGTTACTGAACTTACAAGCATTACACTTCATGCAACACTCAGAAACGATATATGATACATATCAAAGATATATCAAATTGCAATATGGACTAGTGAAATATCGCAGTAGGCTCAATATTTGGTAAAGGCAAAATATGTGAAAATATCTTAATTAAATATTGTGGTGCTGCAGAGAAGTAATTGACTATAAAGGATAATCTAGGGACTTAATAAAAAATCTCTTTTTGACTCACACTATTATCAGTTTAAAAAATGTTTCAAAGATGATGTGAATAATATTGTCAATCATATTGCAACAGTCAATATAATCACTATTTGTTATATTTTCAAAATCATGCAGCTCTAATGCCTTGCAATATGTTTCTGATTTATTGGCTGCACGGTTATTTTTAAAATAAATAAAAATATGCAATCATTTTCATCCCTGGTCCTTGCAGACTTACCTGGTTCATGCTTCATTGACATCAAGATGTAAGGAGAAGTGAGTACTGGGTAAGGAGGCTCTCCACATTTGAACATACTGGGGATGGCGTTGGGCTTCAGCTTCCTCCCCCCCGCCGGAGACCTCGCTATCTCCTCAAACTGGCATGGCTCAAAATGGTCCTGGTGGGAAAAAGATAGGAATACACATACATTTGTATTTAATGAATGATACACCAAAACACAATAAACAAGAATAAAAGTATTGTAGAAGTGGCAATCAGGTGAACCCAGAGGAGAAGGTATCTTTATAAACAATCTTCTTTTGAACTGATCACCTGCTTTAATTGCCAAGTACTATGTTGGAAACACGTTATAACTTCCGCAGACACATATTTCTATAAGATCAAGTGTGTCACTTTTTAAAGCTACTTGTTTCAGATACAATATCGCCCTGGGATTTAGACATACTTCGGTAGCTTACATCGATTTTGGTTTATAATGAAGGTTAAATATCTGTACAGCTGGTAAAAGCTGTTCTGTCACATGATGGTGAGGAATAATACAATGTTACACACATATAGGAACTTAACAATTACTATGCTGTATTAATGCAGGTAAATAAATGTGACTTATCTATTCATACAGTACAATATATTGTCACATTAATATTAATATATACAAAACATGCCATCCTAACATAGCTGTAATACAAAATATAGGCTCCTTTAACATGATCAGATGACTAAAATGTTATGTATGGCATATTATGCTTTTGAGTTGTTAAAGAACAGCAAGTGTATTAACTCAGTGTTGCATTTAAAGGACTTCAATGTAGTTTAACAACAACAAAATGGTAGATAACCAAAAAACAGACTGATTGAAGAGAGATGATTGTTGATCATTGATGTACCTGACAGAGTCTGGAGTGAGGAGTCGGCTCGAAGTCCCGTCTGCAATTCATCACCCATTTCTTCTTCCGCAGAGGGTCTTTGGGGAACCTGAACAGCTGTTTTCCTATGCTAGTTGAATTAGAGCAGTTTGGAGCAGAACACCCACCCATTGCTCCGGTTAAAACAAACAGCAGATCTAAATATAGCAAACGTCAAGATAGCTTGGCTGCCAACGAAGCTCAGCTGGGGATTTTTATCATCACTTTTATTTACTACTTACGCGGTGTATAAACGAGAAAAAAGTTATACAATAATCAAACGTCAACTCGTGGAAACCAGAGTTGTGTTTTACAGGCTTTTACATAGTATATCTTTGTTACAATTTTAAAAAATCTTATCGAGGATAAAATGTTTCTGACTTTGTTTGAGCCAAAATGGCGCTCGTCACCCCGACAGTTAGGTATAGTGACGTATTGTTTATGTGAAGCTGTCGCAGGCGCCTGCTTGAAATGTTTATTGAAAAGACACAATTCAAGAAAGAATGAAAAGATAAAACAACAAGTACAGAACATCCGATTAATACATGTATATTCATTATCCTAAAGCTTTTTTTGCATACATTCACGGGCAAATATTTTACATTTCCTCTCAGGTAACACTGCAACTCCTATGGGCTTTTTGTCACAGGACCCCGAAAAGCACGTTGAAATGTTTACGGTGGAAGCGCGGTTAGCTGTCTTATCAGAACAAGTACAAATATATTAACTAAAACAAATGCCGAATGTATGAAGATAATATAATAATCAAACAACAAGCAAGGGCTCTGCATAGAACAGTTGATAATGGAAATATTTACAAGGCAGTAATTTAAGATAGCTAATATTCCAGTTATCCGTCGGTGACTGCAGGAAACTTTTCGTTCACGAATAGGAGCTGTTTTTGCTTTCTGTACAATTACTTTGGGGTAAACATGGCTTCCTCTATGGTTGTTCCCGTTATTGATGTCCAGAATGATACCTTCAACGAGCTTTGGCCTGCCATGGTATTGGCCATAAAAACGTCTTCCTTCGTCGCACTGGACACGGTAAGTGTGTCCATGTTATCAACCTGATATCTAAACAGAACAAATGTTTCAGTCCCAGTCGTTTATGCATTTTCATTTATGAAAAAACATTAATTCGTCTCCATGCAACAGAGAAGCCACAAATTATGCTGGATTAGATTATAAAAAGAAGGTGGGATTGGCTGACAGTAGCTAAATTGTAAAGTCGTTGTGGAATATATTATTTCTGACATGAATACTATATATACCCCCTTCATCCCATACACTCTTATTAGCAGATCTAACCTCTGTTTGTAGACCCTGAACACATGTCATCACATGCCTCATTGAAAGTGATTTGTCTTACAATCTGTTTGTTTTTCCATGTCACTGTTTGATTTGTCACTTGATTTCACCAATTTCAAAATAAAGGTATTAACTGCTGCCTGCATGTTGTTTTAGGAGCTGAGTGGTCTTGGAAACAGGAAATCCTTGCTGGCCGAGTGAGTAGAAACATGAGTTTTCCTCTCTGCACTTCTTTCAAACACAGTCACCATTAAGATTCAAGATTCAAAGGTGTATTGTCATAACATATAAACAACTATGGTTTAATGATGTAATGTATGAACAACGTAGATCGCAGGTTCCTCAACAGTACAATTTACTTACATGCATACCTACATTAAAGGGTATATAAACAGGTTGTTGTGCTAGAAACATGGATACAAAATATGCAATGCTGATTCTATGTCTTACTGCTAAGTGTTGCTTTTCTGTGAATTGGCCCTGACCTCACTGTCATGTTCCAGATCTATAGAGGACAGATATAAAGCCATCTGCCATGCAGCTCGCTCTCGCTCCATCCTCTCTCTGGGATTCGCCTGTTACAAGAAACTGGACGATAAGGTGAGATTACTGTTCATATACTTTTGTTTATACGCTTTATATCATAGGATTATTACATATTTCCGATGAGCATGAGAAACTGGTAGATGAATGGCAATTAGATGGTTCTCACACATAGAATATTGGTGAGTGTTTAATATTTTCTTCTCTACAGTATCATCACAATATATATATATATATATATATATATATATATATATATATATATGCGCCATTAATAACTGTGCAATATATACCCGGCTGCTAAATCCTAAGAACTGTTACAGGATGTGTATTTTGTAAATTGTGTAACTTTTTATTTTATAATATATTTTATTATATTATAACTTTTTTTTTTACTTTAATACTTTTTTATGCATGTAACATATGTAACATATGCAACATTAAGCTGTCTGTGGCTCTTTTTCTGCTGTAACTACGTACATTTGTGGGACTAATAAAGGTTTTCTGATTATGGTTATGATGACATGTATCGTATGCATTTTGGTTAAATTAATTAGCCTCTGCAGACTTTTATGCTATGTCTGATTGTATTCTTTGTATCTCTTTCTCCCAGGCTGCAGACACGTACCTGGTCCAGGTGTATAACCTCACCCTGCTGTGTTCAGAGGAGTACATCATAGAGCCTCAGTCAGTCCAGTTCCTGGTTCAGCATGGCTTTGACTTTAACAAGCAGTATGCCCATGGAATCCCTTACTGCAAGGGCAATAATAAGGTGAAGATACTACATTTTGTTCTGTGATGTGGTGAGAGTCCTGAGCCCACTGTCTTCTCAATTGTACGTCTGTTATTGTGGAGTAGACAGTTAAAACGTTATATATCTAATGCCTGCAGCAGTGTGTAATGGGTACAAATATATATTTATACAAAGTTGGGATTTAGATTGACTTTTTAGTTAAAGTCACTCATTGCTAAGAAATATGCTCAGCCACACAGACACAGCAGGCTTCAAGCAGCCTGTGTGTTTAATCTCGGGTCAAGTCGAAGATCCGGATTTGATTTGGAGAACATTAGCTGCAATCTGATCAATTCCAGTACTGAGCATTGCTGGTTTGCAAAACTGGACAGGGCAAGGACTCTCTGCAGTAGAATATCGAAGTCTATAAACATAATTTGATATTTAAATCCATGGAGTTACCTTTTAAAATGATGTATTCTATACTTTTAGGCAGAGGGATGCACCACATAATGTCATATCAATAGATTATTTCTAAATTGGTGCTTATCCATAAAGTTTATCTTTATTGTGATTATTTTCTTTTGTTCAACCAATATGGGATCGCTATAATTATTGACAGTTATCTGCTCCATGCATGCCAAGTGATCATGAGGGGAATAAACTATCTAATAAAACAGGGCACACATCCTATAGGGCCCCATGTAAGTAGACATAAGTAAAACATAGATGTATACTGTATATATACACTTTAACATAGAACATGACACTGCAAAAGATGAACCATATTCCTTTGATGTTTTTAATTTCTATCTGTCATTTCTCTCTCTAACTTGTTAGGCAGAATCAGACGATCGGGGGGTCCACATCCGAGCGTTATTCACTGAACTGCTGCGTGCCAGGAAGCCCCTGGTGCTCCACAACGGCCTCATCGACATGGCCTTCCTTTACCAGGTAACATCAACTTATGATGTTGGCTGTTCACTTTTGTTCTTTTGTTCTTTCTCATAATTGTACTTATTTTCTTTGCAGAAAGTAAATGCATAATTCAATAGCTTTTTCAATGAGGGAAAAATAACCTTATCTTAAATTGCTATTTCCATTTTGGTATTCGAGCTGCAATGTCGATTATGTATATATTTTTTTTAAATCCTCTGGAGCAGAGAGAGGAGCTGTGGATCTTAGGGTTAAAAACGCTAAACTCACAACTTAAAATTAAGGCGTTTAGTTTATTTAATAAAAGAGCACATGTTCAATGTGAAACGTGACAGTAGATATAGATTAGTTGCAATTTGGTGCTATATATAAAAATAAAACACCTTGAATTTCAGGGGGGGCGCGGGGCTCCGTTGGCGGGGCGCTTCCAAGACAATGGTAGGGGAAACACTGAACAATGTCTCTCTCCCCCAGAGTTTTTATGCACATCTGCCTGACCGCTTGACCACCTTCACAGCCGACCTGTCTGAGATGTTTCCTGCCGGCATCTACGACACCAAATATGTCACTGAGTTCGAGCTCCGACTCACTGCCTCATATCTGGAGTATGCCTATAAGAAATGGTGTGTATTTGTGTAATGTACTGTACAGTAAATAATAAGGTAGAATAGAAATTAAAAACACTCAGAGTTATCTGGACTATTCCTCTGACGTGTCCATTATTGTCTAAAGCAGGAGACCTTGTGGTGCATTATTGTGCTTGAAGCAGTGTTGTAAAATGAAGTGCTGATGTTGTGAAGTGCCTTTTCCCTCATTACCTCCTCTTCCCTCCAGTAAGCTGGATAGCAGTCGCAGGGGCACCTCTGGAGGAACGGAGCCTCACGTTCAGCTAGAGTTCTGTCAGTACGCCGGTCAGATGTCCAGCTACGTGGACTACAGAGTGTGTCCAGCTGTGGGCTCTGTTGAGGGACAGACTGACGTCTGCCAGCGCTTCTCCGTGAGTTTTCCCTTTCTTTAAGAAATCTTTATATTGTTCTTTATGTTCAAGTGAAAGGGAAATAGACAAACAAGCCAAATAGTCAGTATTTACTATTAACATCCTTGTCTCTATGTTTGTCCTATAGGCATTTGGCTGGTGTCCAAATGGCAGCGAGTGTCTATTATCCCACGACACTGACCTGATCATCCTCCAGGACGAGAAAGACCTGGGGAACAAGAGAACTAAGAGGAAGAGACGTAAAGATAAGAGGAAAGGTAAAGGTGAGGCAGCGGAAGACGGTGCCCCTCAACACAAAATCCCCCACATGGAGGTGGATCTGCAAGAAACGCCAGATGAGAAGCAAGGGGCCGAGTCATCCTCAGAAAAAGGGTCTCTGATGGACACCCAACAGAATGAACGAGAGAAAACAGACATCGAGGGGAACGGAGTGAGCCAAGAGAACACACTTGAAATAACACCCACTACTGATGACAACGCAAAAACCAACACAAATGGTGGTGAAGAAAGCAGAACAAAAGATAGCGGAAGTGAAAAATTAAGCGAGAAATCGTCCAAGACTGAGCAGAAGAAGAACGCCGACTCAGGAACGCACCGTGCCGGGTTCGACGCCTTTATGACGGGATACATTTTTGCCCATTCATGTACCCTGAACAAGAAGAAAGGAGTGGAATCTGTAGAGAAGGAGGAGGAAGAGGAGTCCTGGGTTCCTTCGTGTCTCAATAAGGTCTACCTCAGCGGTAAATCTGCTCCTCTCAACGTGGTTAAAAGCACCTTCTCCAAATCATCCAAGGCCCATGTGGCGAAGATGGAGATGGTTTGGGGAAAGAAAGTGTAGTGTGCACACTTAAACACAGTATTTAAGTGTTTATATTAGGGCTGCAAAATCAATTTGATTTGATTATATTAAGGCTGCAACTAATTATTATTTTAATTATTAATCTGCAGATTACTTTTACGATAAACTGTTTGTTCAATAAATTGTCCAAAAATAATAAAAAAGGAACAATTCCATTTCTCAAAGTCCAAGTGATTCAATGTTTTGTTAAGTCCAAACTCAAAGATGTTCATTTGAATATAATATTTAACAGAGAAAAGCCAAGATCTAAAAACTGCTTTTTCTGGCATTTTTTCCATGGATAATTACTTAAGAATTATGGAATAGGAGGTCAGTTTGCTTGTGGCACAACCTTTCAGTCTGGCAGTGTTGAAATGTAAGTTTCTCATGCTCTATACTGTTTTTATTTCTTTGTAAGACTTTTGTACATTTTTACCTACTATTAATAGTATTAAAGACGGTAATAAAGTGCAATTCAGTCGTAGCTGTTTTGATCAAGCCAGGTATTGTTTCTTAAGTTTCTCTGGAAAGAGCCAGATCCTTGATTTGCATTCATTCTTCATTTTAGATGTTTGTATAATTACCTTTTACAGGAGTTACCTTTGAAAAAATAAATGTATGCTCTTTAAAAATGATCATTGTCTTAATTTCATTATTTACTTATACTGGTTTTATCTTGAAGGATGATTAGAACAAAATGCCAAGAATATAATCCCTTGCTATAACCAGCACATCATTTTGAATCGACTGTCCTTGGAAGTAATAGTTAATAAATCAGCAGTATCGCACCAATTGTACCACACTCACAAGTTGAGATCCCATTTTAAATACGTTTTTAAAACGTTTTTGTTTGTAGATACATTAATTTTTATTGTGAACTACAAGATTGGTAATCATTTAATTTCTGAAATATTTGCAAACTGACAACAGTGAAAGTTGGTGTATATAGCTCCTACACAGGATAAACCATTTGATCTTTGTAGTAACTCAGCCTATCCTCTGGCGCCACCCTCTGGACAAACGTTTTCTTGTTTCTGTTTGTGTGATGGAGAAGGAATTACATTTGTTTGTTGTTACAAATACTTTCAGTTGAAACAGATTCCTGGTGACAACATTGTTTGGAAGTAGTTCAGCTTTAACACATCACTGAGGGTAAAGTATGTCACAGAACACAGGATTATTTAATAGAGGTGTTTTCATTGAATTCAATATCAAAGCAGTCACGTGTATATCATGGGGTGCTAGATGTTGACCGCTGTGGATCACACTGGTTGTGTTGTTCTTTTTGTCTCCTGTCCCACGTCAGGAAGGCCATACACCCAGGAAGAGCCCTGCCCTCCCTGTGATATAAAAAAAAGGCAATGTACAGAGATTAAATTAGTGTAAATCTTCACTTGAAACTTTTGTCAAAAAAACAATCATGAAAGAGACAAACCTTTTCTTTAATGTTCTGCTTAACAAAACACAGGTCCATCTTGTGTTCAGTTGCCACAGTATGGTTCACTCAGAGGAAAATATAAACAAAATCTAGTTTATATTTTACATAATGATTGCAATGAAATCACAGCACGTAAGCATTTATAGAGTCAAACACGTTTTATATCAGACACGGGAAGCATTCAGATCTGTAAATTCATATGAAGACATGGACTTCATCTCAGGCTGATTGTACTTTACATTTTAGATCAGTGTTAGATGTTTCATAAACTCAACTTGCTGTATTTGAGTAATGATCAGACTAACAACAACATCAACAGGTACGGGCCTACTAATAGTTCAATAACTTGTGCTTTCATACTTTCTTTCCACAGAGATTTGTCTTTAGGTTAAAGATAACGATAAACCATGTATTGATATTTGTCTCTGCTGCACATTGTGATTTATCTCTAAGCTAGCAAACTGAAAGTTGCGTGTTATACATTTCCAGTTTAATACCAGTTATATATCTACAGATTCATATTTATATTTATGTTAGAGGTGAAACGTGACTGCGTGTACAAAATGGACGTAGAGGATTCCATGGTTGCTATGGTTTGACGCAGGACTAGCGTCAATATCGGATCAATATTTAAACCATAACAACCTGAAAACTACCTGAAGACGGTCACGAACATATTTTCTCCGCTTTCACTCGACGATTCTTCCAAATTAGCGTTTCTACTCAAGTCTTTTTACATCCCGAAAAGAGTCAGAGACCCCCTGAGAGTTATTACAGCGAGAAAACACACTTTAATTATGGAAAATGTAAGATGTCATGACTTTGAAAGTCCCCGTTGTTTCCAATGTGCTTTGCCGTCGACATTTTCAGAAACCTCACAGTTTAATGATGTTTATCAAATCATTTAGTCTCCTGTAACGATAAGTAGGCCTACCATTAAACACTGTAACCATCAGATTAAGGTCAAGTATGCTACTGTGACGACTCAATTAATAAATCTTTGCATTAAAAACTACCAAAAATACACATGCATTCATCAAAACTAGGCTATATGACAATATTAACAAATACATGTATCTAATACAAATCATTTATATTAACTTTTTAGGCTATATCACCCAGCTTCAAGCTGAAATACATTAATATTGTAACTTTGAATGTAGCTAATTAAAGTCACTCACTTTAACTTAGCATTATTTCCATCATATGCCAACCGCATGTGCAATATTATATGTTCAAACAGTAAACAGACATATGCTTATTATATAATATTGTACACACACGTCACATATGTGTCACTAAAGCACAATATTAACTGACATGAGGGCCTAAAGGTGGGTCTTGTTTTGTTACCGGACCTGTCTTGTCTTGAGGAGGTTTTCAGACTTTGATTACATGTTTCATGTTCCTTCATTTATGATTTTATCTAACAACCACATCCATCTTTGGCAAGTTAATCTTCCAGCACATAAAACTAGTAATAACACATTTAATTTCCATACTACGACATGACTATATATTAGAACATCCTGCAGGTACTTGTAAAGCCTCATCCTAACATGAGTGTGTGTTGTTGCAGGGTCGAGTGCCCGTCCTCCCGCAGGACAACCAGACAGGAAGGAGAGTCTCTGCCCGCCAGAGGAGGCCTGCAGTCTGCAGACAGTGTCCCTGCTGCAGGGACGACCAGGTGAGACATCTGATCCACAACTCTGTTCCTTTGAATTGTACACAGTTTAATCCACAAGATTGTTTGACTGTGGAGTATATTGTCAATACTAAATAGTTTGAGACTAGACAAGGTCCATTGTACAGGACTAATGCCCCAAATACTCACATTTCAAGTAATCCTCTGCAGTGCATCTGATGTAGATGTTTCCTCTTGTAAAATGATAAAAGTATGTTGTTAAGTAAGAAGTTTACTAGAGTCTGACATCCTCTCGTGTTTTGCTGACCTTCTCCAGGTGCCACATACAAAGCGCCGGCGCCCTGCTGCTTCTGCAGACCTTCCCCAGAAAAGGAAGCAGACCTCCGCTGCTCTTCCTCCTAAACCTGCTGACCTGCCCCCTGTCTCTAATGTGGCCCCCAGCCCCCGGACCTCCACTGCTCCCCTGCACCTCGACAACCCTATCAGGATCCACAACCGCTCAGTCGAGGAGTATCAGCTCATCTACCATGAAGTTGTTGATAACATGCTGAGGTACGTTGTGTCACAAATAAAATGAGTCAGTTCATTTACAGAGTTTAGACTCTCTTAGAAATCTATCTCTCTGTTTTCCTTCATCATAAAGATTTATTTTGTGTTTCTCCTCTCAGGTTCCCGAACGGTCTCCTGCGTCCATATAGTTTGGGTCTGGGTCGTCGTATCAAGCAGAAGCTGTGGGAGCGACTGGACCGTCCGATGTTCACAGAGACAGTGGATGAAGACGGTCTGGTCCATGTGGACGTGTCCTACGGTGCTGGAGTCCAGCCTCCGCTCTTCAACGTGGATGTTTCTGGTGAACCAGAGCCCGAATATCCACCAGCAAAAAGGGCAAAGCACTAAGACACACTCTCATAAGCTGACATGTCTAAATAATACTGTGCTTTAAGTTTAGTTTAGTTGTTTTAAGTTTCATTTGAGTAGTTTTAAGTTTTAAGTATGGCAGTTAAGTTTAAGTTTATTAAGTGCAGAGATAAGTCTTTAGTGCCAAGCATAAGTATTAAGTGTTAAGTCTTTAGTTTTAAGTATTTAGTAATAAGTATAGGTATACAGTGTTAAGAGTAAGTGTTTAGTTTAAGTGTTAAGAATAAGTATTTAGTGTTAAGAGTTAGTATTTAGTTTGAGTTAAGTTTACTTTCATTGATCTTAATGTATCTCACCACTGATGAATTGTCTTCCTCTGAATCAGTTCATGCTCCTCTGTTAACAGTCTTCTCAATCAGCTTCAGCCTCAACAGCAACAGTTATCACCTGCCAGAACACCTGCTCCACCCTCCAGGCTCCACCTGTTACTTCTACCATCCACCTCAGACAACACATCAGCCTTGAGCTGCAGCCTGTTCCAAAAACTCCTCTCCACCTACAGCCGCTGTCTCTCTGCTGCCTCCATCCTCTACCAGCAGCTTCAGCAACAAACTGCTGCCTCACTCTCCACCTGCAGCCTCTGTTAGCAACCTGCAGTTGTTGGGTCCAGCTGCAGGTTCTGAAAGACAGCTTCAGCCGAACCTGCACCTCCACCCTCTGTCAGCAACCTGCAGCCAACTCCTCCACCTGCAGGTTCAGACGAACTGCTGACGGCTGAACCTCCATCTACAGCCTTTGCCAGTGCACCTGTGCCTACACCTCTCGAAGTGAACTGCTATCCGAGCCTCCACCCACAGCCTCTGTCAGCAACCTGCAGCTGCTGCCTCCACCTGCAGATTCTGACAGATCACTGCGGTCAAACCTCCATCTACAGCCACTTGAAGAAGACCACTCCCCCTGAAGATCCCCACAGAAAGCTGTGGTCAAACCTCCACCTACAGCCTCTATAAGGAAACCTGCACAGATGTTATCCTACTGCCATGTGGAGACCTGAGTGGAACAGCAAGGACCAGAGAAACACACGCATATATAGTCCTTCAGTTAAAATGCAAAAATATATCTGTGTTATTAAAGCTGGCTTTCTGTTTACATTCTGTTCACTTGTTCTTCTTCTCACAGGTGTTTTCAAACGTTGTGTGAAAGACTGAGCACACACTCCTCAACATGAACCTGACTGACTGTGATGATGCCTTCATGAAACAGAGAGAGCTCCTCTTCCTCCCAAGTTGTACGTACAGTATAGCAGTATGATATATTTCTTAACAACACACTCTGAGTGTATTGGGATTCTGAATGGAAGTTCGGTGATGAATTATATTTGAATGAAACACCTTATACTTCCAGATCTACCAGGAGCTGATTCAGGCCCCTGAGGACAACTCCTTCTACAACAGCTCTGTTCCAGAGATGCTTCCTCCTCCTCCTCCACATCCTCCACCTTCACCACCCCTCCTGCTCATCGCCAGAACTAAGAGTGCCCCACCCCATCTCAGCAACCACCACCAGTTTCTCCTGCAGCCACGGCCTCCATATGTAGATTCTGACAGACAGCTGACGGCTAAACCTCCACCTACAGCTTCTGCGAGTGCACCTGCGTCTACACCTACTGAAGCCAACTGCGGCTGAACCTCCACC